TAACCGTCTGACTCGTTCGTTGTGACCCGCGAACGACGGACGATGAAAGGATGTCGTCCCTCTAATTAGATCGGGCCGACCGAACGGTCGTGTTTCACCTGAGCGCTCGTGGGTAGATAGACACAGATAGAAGAGGAGCAAGAAGAGAGAAAAACAGCGAACGAAGCGAGTGAGAGAGAGAGAGAGAGAGAGAGAGAGAGAAACAGTGGAAGAGGAAGAGAGAAACAGAGAAAAAAGAGAGAAGCGGGGGCTCTGGTACCCCTCTAAGTCCAAGGTCATGAATGCGAAGGTTATCGTACCTCTTCCACTTGGCACGAGTGAATTCATGGTGTTCCACGCGGCGACGCATTCGCTTTTCCAGGGAACAAACGAAGACACCGCGATCATCGTCGTGCGAGAGGAGAGAAAGGGAGAACGAGAGACGTCGAGAGACCCAGGTGTGTAGCAGAGCGAGGTAGACAACGCGAAGGCTTCGCGGAGGTGGAAGCGGGGGTGGAGAAGGAGGAATCGGGGGGGGGGCAGAAGAAGAAGGAAGGAAGAAGAGAAAAAGAGAATAATCGAACGGGTAGAACAAAGACCGTCTCGCCGCTCCAGGAAATACTTCTGATGTCGGGTTAGCTACTCTTCTCTCTGGTACGCGATGCCTTCGTGCAGGAATTTCGATCGAGTCCCAAGATAAAAGGTGAATGCTCCTGAGGGAAGTACTCGCGGACTCGAGGTCGCCGGAAAGCTACATTTAGCATAGCGAATGCTGAAGAACGCGTACTTCGGCCGCGACGAGGAGCTACAGACTCGCGACACTGACATTATTCGCGAGCAACGTGATATTTCGATCGTCTCGGCTACAGGCGATAGCGATCCAGCAGACGTTTTTAAACATTCAGCGGAGAAATTTGCAGCACGCTGTTTATCGTGCAACATTTCCATGAAATATATGACATCAGTATTCTGCTACGCATTTCTGAGATTAGAATCTTATCGGGCTCTATAACATTGTTCTTGCAGGATCTGCTTGCGGAACGAATACTTTTACGCATTGCTAAACCACGAGCTAAATGTGTTGGTTAAAGTCATAGTGGCGTAAGTCACATTTTTCTCATTGTATGAAACAAAAAGTGTTATAAATCTCTTGTTAACACAATTTAGAGTTATGTTAATTTATAGTAACTTTGTAATTTATTTCACTTGTCTTTTTAACATTTTGCTTTGTACAAATTACATTTTAAGACGAAACTCAAAAATTTCGAAAATGTGTCTTACGCCACTGTGAGTCTAATTTACTTGAATATTAGTGCTAATCTTTTCATTTAGGATGAAATCAAATTCTGATATGGCAAATGCAATGGTCTTAGTTTCATGTCTTCAAATCTCAAGATATTTTAATATTCACTTGTTGCAATGATTTTCGCAAGAATAACTTGTAAGACCGACAATAAACAGTAAAATGATAAACTATGTGAAATAATAAAAAAAGTAATAAAATAGTCATGATAGACTTCGAATAAAAAGTGCGAGAAAATGTGTTATCTAATTCCAGATGAACGCTCCATTGATATGTTATTCTTAGCTGGGAAAATGAAACTTTAATTATATAAAATAAAATGGAAATACAATGTCGGGATCATTCGTGACCCCAGTACACCAGTTAAGTCACTAAACGAAAAGCAGAAGCAGAAATCGAACCTTCCTTTATTTGCCATTTTTATTTCTCCTCGTAGCCGCCTTTGTGCACACTTCGACCGGCTTTTGAAACCCGTCACGAAGGTATTGACCATTTCACGCCTTCGACCGCTTCTTCGCCGCCATTTCGCAGCACGGATTCGGTCCGATTCGATTTCCACTTTTTCCAAAATTAAAGAAACACTTTCAGGGCTATCGGTTTGAAAGCAACCAAGTCTTGGGGAAGATTGTGTGAGTGTAATTGAACGTACACCACGAGAACTCAATTC